TAAAGTGTAAAAGAGCATAAGAAAAAGGAACATCTAGAACTGTTTACTTTCAAACCATTGGTTAGAAAAGTTCTGATTTGCAGACATTATATTGATGAAAGAGGTTGTTGGGGTTCCAAATCGAATGATCGATCATATATATATCTTTCATATTAACTGATGTTGTACGGGAGAAGAACGTAACGCAGTTTGATGTCAAAGATGATCAATATGAGTACTCGTGGAAGGTACGTAATAAATAAATATGACTACGTAAGATAAATGATATCATCACGGTCAAATGCTATCTTTCTAATCTTATAATTAACGGAAATATGAAAGCTATCACACTCTGTGTTTTGTGTCTCGTTTCATGCTATAAGAATTGTTTACTATTTTTATCTAATGCTTTAATAAGAACTAATGTATTAGCAAATTAAGCGTTTGTCAGTTTAATTTCTTAAGTTATTGTCTACATAACCAAAAAAAATCATATAATCATAAATGAGTTTTGCTCTAGTATATATAGGTACAATCAAAATGACAGAAGTGACAGGTCAATTGTAACACGCAAATCAAATTAGTTAGGTGATGGAATGCATGATTTAGCATTATTGGGGAGATATGTGAAGCTAGCTAGCCAATCAAACCCAATTAATAAAAACCCTTCTCTAATTTTTTATATAAAATTAATTTTTATTAGTTACTAGTTAGAGATCACTAGATTAGTGATTGTCAAATACATTTGATTTTTTAAACATCATAATTCAAATGTAATTGACAATTACCGAGTGACCTTTAACTAATAAAAATTGATTTTATTTATAAGAAAATATTTAGGGGGGTGTATTCAAAGTAGCATTGTAAGTGATTTGAGTTTTATTGAGATTTTAATGATTTTAGAGAAATTCATATGATTTTTGTAAAATTCTTTCAAATCCCACCTAAAACTATGAGATTTGGATTCTTATATTTTTAACTAAGAAAGTTCTTTAAAATCCTCTGAAATCCTCTCAAATCATTTAAAATCAAATCCACAAATTGTTTTCAATAACAGTGGATTTTAAGATGAATTTTAAAATGATTAGTTCATTAACACTGGATTTCAAGAGACTTTTTAAAATTCATGATTGAATAACACCGGATTTGTAAACTTTTTACAAATCACTTGAAATTCCACTTTAAATACACCCTCCTTAATATTTGATGGGAAACATCGGTAGTGAAAAAATGTTATTTATATTACTATGTATTTGTTATATATAATTCTGATACACCTGTTTTTTTTTTTTTTTTGCTTAAAAGTTTTAGTTAGAAAAAGACGAAGTAAGCAAGTGACCAACAACCTCTATTATTCGTGGGAAGGGATATGCCCCCCAACATGTGCTATATTTATGAATTAAGAGTAAACAATTAAAACTAGTTTGACTTAATTAATTATTTTATTCGGAAAACATATATTAAAAAATACTACGACTAACTTATAGTGAAATTGAAGAGTTAGTTTAATTTGCTAATTTAATGGGGTCGAGTAGCAGACGTACATGCAAAAAGGTGCCTCTAAATCGACCTGGATAAATCATGTCAGATTTGTCCTTTGGTCCTTTTTTTTTAAATTATGCAACAATGACATATCTTAGCTATGATACAAATCTTGGTGTTACAACAATTTCAACAAAATCATTAATCACTCAAATTCATAATTTCTTAGTACGTAGAAATAACCTTTAACCTACCTGTGTTTGTAGGTCAGATGAAATCAATCCTACATTACAGCAATTTATACATTTTCTAATATACAAATTAAAACATATTTAACCGTATTTAATTTAATATACGAGTGTTTATTTTAACAAACAAATACTCGTAGAGACCTTACTAAAATGTGAATCCAATCCATGTTGTAATTAATACTATAGTTATATATCTAGTTTTACCAATAAATATCTAGTTATATGTATGTGTGAGTATTATATATTATTTGTATTTTAATTTTTGGTGCGTATACATTTCATGAGAGAGACTTATATATCTCTGTGGATCGTATAATATAACTAGACGACCATTAGTTTTGTGAGGGGGACATAACGACATAGATTAAGTGTGAGGAGAGGAGTGAAACACGAAGTCCAATTGTAACAAATCTTATATCTTTTGTGTTTTTTTTTTGTTTCCTTATTCTTCTTACAATTATATTGGAAACCCAAGTTGTTTCGGCTTATTATATATATAAGTATAATATCCCTATTATTACAGTCACATGCCTTGACCTCAACTGAAACTTTTACAACACATGAACTGGATTATTTTGAGAGGTACTTTTGGTAGAGGTAATTATAATTGGAATTATTGCTGAAAACTATAACTATCACTAGTACATAAGTATTGTTTTTGTGATGAAATTAAGAACTAATAGAAACGTGTAACCACCAATGATATTGTCCTGAAAGCACGTGACAGATATTTCATGATCCTATAATCTGCAAATGATAAGATATATTATAAATAAAACGACACTTGAGAAAAATCGTCAAATAAAATAGAAGAGGACCACGCACGTAACCATTTGCATGTCCCATTGTTTTTTTTTTGTGTGTGTGTGGTAGACTTGGGTAAGTTATATACAATATACATTTCTGTTAACAAACTAATTATTTTTATTTTTATTTTTATTTTTTTGACGAAAAAAAGAAACTAATTATTTTTTTATTTTTTTTGTAAAACAAAACTAATTGTTGCGTTCTTATTCACAAACTAATTATTGAACTCAAGATCGTAACCACTAGGCTAGGCATTTACCCAATCAAACAAGAACGCAACATCTACTCAGGCATGTATGTAGACCAAGATCGAGCTTCTTTTTCTTAGAATGGATCAAATGTTTCACACTGTTTTTTTTTTTTTTTTTTTTTTTTAATGTTTCACATTGTTGTCAACTTCTCATGGTCTAGGTAAACTATATGTTTGGTCATAGATCACTGCATGTTGAGCATTAACTAGTAAGTATATATCAAAGTATAATTAGATGGTTGTTCAATATTATAAAGGAAAGAAGAGGAAGAAGGCTAAAAAGTCAAGTCGATTTCAGAAATAAACCTTTAAGTCTTTATCCATCCTCTCGATGATAAAATGATTAGAAAAAGAAAAAGAGAGAGAGAGAGAGAGAGAGAGAGGAACATAAGGGATGGTATGAAGTAGAAGTGAAGATGCATGCGATGGTGTGTCGGAAAGGCAAAGCACATGCTCCACAACTTGAGCTTCTCTCACACTTGCGTCACGAGTAAGTATCCTCTGTACCTTATTACTTTTTGCTTAATATGTAACCATCTCACTTCTCACCCGTTGGATCCAAAATCTTCATCCATTATATATCATCCGATCCTCTCTCGTCACCTTTTAACTGTCCCATACCTATTTTCTTTCGTTGTCTTCTCTGTTGTTGTTTTCATTTACAATTCTTGTCTCACAGATTCATTTACAAATTAAATTTATTGTTCTTTCTTCTAGGAAAATGATGTGTATCTTCACTCTGATTATATAACTAAATTTAATTGTCAAAAGATTATATTATACGTTTATAGACAGCCGTGACAAACACTGTCTGTCAATATCTACCATGGTTTATTTCTTAGTTATTTGTGTTTGGATCATCATAATCTCTAACTTCAAATGTGTGATATATATATTGTAGTAACAATTTATATTCTCATGTTGACGCGAAAGTTCAACATCTTATATATATTTCAATAGTTGTAAACTATTTGTATTCGTAAATTAATAAACACATATATTAATAGAAGCGAAACTACATCAAGGTATCATTTAATTTATTGACTATATATAAACGAGTATATAAGTTCGTATATATGAGGTTTTCTGATTTCTTACACTTAAGATTTTCTAAAATAAATCAGATATTAATTACTTATAAAAATAGTCTGACACAAATTGATTTCATTAACCATATGGTTGGGAGACAAGTAAAAAATGAAGTTCACTTCAATGGCCGTGAGTGAAATTCTCATGCTTTAGGAGAACGAACACTCAACGAAGCTGAAAATGCATACAAAAGTAAATGATCTAAAAACCCATTTATGAGGATTTAATTCTTTAGAATAGAAACCAATGAGGATTCGATCATTTCAAACCACATGAGTCATGACAAAGGATTGTTTGACTCACGCAACCCACACATATTTATGGCTGCTTGATTAGTAGTAAGGTTTAATTAACAACGTTATACTAGTTTTTTTTTTTTTTTTTTTTGTAACCTAAAACAAAATGGATTTATATAAAGAATTATCTAGACCAGTTTACTGATAAACTGTGTTTGTATTTAAAAACGTAAATCATCTCTTTTCAAAGAAGTTTCGAATTCAAGGCCGACAAAGCTGAAATGACGACATCTCTTTACATGTTGAACTGTTGATAATAACATATGCACACATCATTATATATAACTCATATATATTACTTTTGATTATTACTTTTGCTGATATTCCAATAATTACATTAACTTCGACATGATCAAATCCTTTTTCAACTCTAAAAGGGTTACTTCGCGGCATTTTGTGTGGCTTAGCTAGTTTTTTTCTCTTAACACTAAGCTCGATCGTGGGATCCAGTGCCTTTTAGGACAAAATTTCATCGGACGAGAGAAAAAAGAAGAAGCAAAAGCAATACAACAATATTTTAACATGTTAACTTATACATATGTACATCACATATTAATGCACTGCAACAACAATAACAAGTAACAATCACAAAAAGATAAAAAAGATAAAAGGAAAAAAAAAGAAAAAATAATGATTGAAAGGAAATATCATCACGCAAAACCTTAAAAGTACTATCGGTATCGTGTCCTCCTCTCCTCATCAAATAGTTTTTCACATCATTTTTACCATTTCTTCTTTTTTTTTTTTTTTTTTTTCACTCTCTGTCGTCTCTATCTACCTCTTCGTATAATACTATATTAGTACCATTACCCATCTCTCTTTCACCACCAAAACCAACATCTCCAAAATCCTCTCTCTCTTTCTCTCTTACTCCAAGAAAATGTCAGTCAACCATTACCACCACCACAACACTCTCTCGTTGCAGCAGCACCAACAACATATACACCACCAAAACGACCTCTCCCTTGCACAAAGAGAGTCTTTGTTCGAGAAATCCCTCACGCCAAGCGACGTCGGTAAGCTCAACCGCTTAGTCATACCAAAACAACACGCCGAGAAATACTTCGCTCTCAGTAATAATAATAATAATGGCGGCGGAGGAGGAGGGGATGACGTGGCGACGACGGAGAAAGGGATGCTTCTTAGCTTCGAGGACGAGTCAGGCAAGTGCTGGAAATTCAGATACTCTTATTGGAACAGTAGCCAGAGCTACGTGTTGACCAAAGGGTGGAGCAGGTACGTCAAAGACAAACACCTCGACGCAGGCGACGTCGTCTTCTTCCAGCGACACCGTTTCGATCTCCAAAGACTCTTCATTGGCTGGCGGAGACGCGGCGAGGCTTCTTCCTCTCCCGGCGCCGTGTCTCAAGAAGCTTTGGCCGCGAATACGACGGCGTTTTGGACACCTTATCGTCAAGTACACGCGTCAACTACTTACCCTAATATTCACCATGAGTATTCACACTACGGTAAATTTCAAAACTCTTTATTTCCTCTTTTGTTTTGTTTTTTTTCCCTTTTCTTATCTTTATGTCAGATTTATACTCTTTCCTTTCTGTATAATATTTATATTCTTTGAAAGGAGATGTTTCCTAAGTTTTAATGCATATTTTACATTGCATTTCCAAATCTATATTATAGTTCATTTATGCTTGTCTCACCTATTTTATTATTTTATGCATGTTTTTTTAATGTTTTTTTTGGCATAGTTACATGGTCTTTTACCAGAACATAACTCAAACTCATCCCTCTTTTTTTTTTTCTTATTGTCCAATAACTCCTAGATTAAGAAAACTCCTAAATTATTAGAATTTCTATCGAGTTTTTGTTTTTGGTTTAAAAGCAAAAAAAATAAGAAGTTCAAAAGGTTAGGGCAAGAACTTACAATTTAAGCTAATGGAATATATTCTTCACAAATGCAAAAGGAGTACTTATCTAAAACTATTATATATGACAATTATCAAAGTTGCGTGTGTATGTGTATAAAATAACAACCTGAAATAAAACATTTTGTTAGATACTGTAGTAGAAAATGTAAATTTTATTTTTGTTTTTCTTCTTACAAATTTTTTTAAAAAATTTGGACCCGACAATTTCAATAATCTTCTCCAAGTTGTAACTAATCCGTTAGAACGCGCGTGACGAGAACCGTCCAATCCACTTAGACTAACGTGCTCTTTATTTCTTCCTTTTTAATTCGTTTGTTTTTTTTTTTTTTTAATTTTAAAAAATATCTTAACTAAAAGACGCGCACGTGTCGTGACGGTGCAAATATATTGTAGGCGCCGCCGCTGATCAGGCTCAGTCGACACCGACTGTGGTCGCAGGGAGCTCGAGGACGGTGAGGCTCTTTGGCGTTAACCTCGAATGTCACGGTGACGCTGTCGAGCCACCACCACGTACCGACGGCGGCTACAGCGGCCAACACATTTTCTATTACTCAACTCCTCACCCCATGGTAAATATGAATGTTACTCTCTTTATTTTATTATTGGTTAGATTCGAATTGCTTACGTTACGTTATAGTATATGCTGGCTACTATATGATTAAATAGAGTATGATATAGATTTGAAATGATACGTATTAATAAAACAGATGTCGTGGCTGTTTCTCGAGACGAGACAGATGAAATTAGTAATTTTAAAATAGGTCTTGATAGAGATTTTTGTTTGATAACTACTAAACTATTTTTAAAAGAGGAATCAGGGGAGAATAATACTAAAACACTTGACTCCATAAACCACATGGCCAATTTGTTTTTTTTTTTTTTGGTTTTTATATTTGTTGATTACTTTTGATTTGTCTCTGTAGGCTTTACGTAGCCATCTAAGTTATATTGACATATATGTCTTGAGTATCTAAATTTCATGTGCAAAAAGTCTCTAGTCTTAGTTTTACTATTCTCAATTGTGTTTGGCACCGTCCAGTTCTTTCTTTTTTTTTTTCTTTTTTTCTTTTGTGTGAAAGCCAAAGACTTGGACTAATGTTTTGTTTGAAAAGCAAAACTTGACCATTACAAAACTTATCAGTGACATCTAAGTTTTGACTTGATTACTTATGTTTGAAAATAATTTGAAGTTTTTTTAGAATTGTATATTTATAATAGATAATGAATATAATATAGATTCTTTTCACATTTTTCTGGTACAATTTTATGTAGAAAAGTAATTGATAATAATAATAAAAAATATAATAAAAATTGCGTGTTGGGTTTGTGAAACAGGATATATCATTTGCTGGGGAAGCATTGGAGCAGGTAGGAGATGGACGAGGTTGATTGATAGATGATGATGATGACATCCAAAAACAAGTGACCAAACCTTTTTATTAGATTTTTTTTTTAACTTTAGATAATGGGCCCATACTTGGCCCAATTGTCATAGAGAAAACCACCCAAAAAAACAGGAGGAGAAATTAATACCATCAGTCAAGGTAGCTTCGTTAATGTATTTAGTATTTAACTAATTTCAAAACAAAAATAAAAATAAAATAAAAGAGGAGATTTTTGTTCTTCCTATATGCAAAAAGATGTAAATTTTTGGGTCTTTCTGAGATAAATTCAATGAAAGAAGTTTTAATTTGTAGCACAAAAGTCATTTGAGGGCAAATACTCCTAACTGGTGAGCTAAAACTTATTAAGGCCTAGGCTCAGCTCAACCTCATACACATAACACATGTACCTGACGATGAAAGATGAATTTGGAACTGTTGAGATTCATGGGAGGAGATTTTCATTAAAGGAAAAAGTGTGGGCATAAATAATATATATATATATATATATATGAAATGATAAAAGAAGTGAGTAGAAGCATGTGTGTAAGAAAATATAGGTTGTGGTACATCGCCTTTTTCTCTATGGTCCAAAGCCAGGGACCATTTTTTTATTGCATGCTACACTCTTCCTTTGATTCTCTATTCTTTTTGCATTGCAAATAAAGTGTAAACGGAATATGTATCATTTTTTTTTTTTTTTACAAATTTGACTATATAGGTCCCAATTTTCTATTATATGCATTTGCGTTAATGTTTATATGTTTCTGTATATGAGTATTGTGGTGTGGTAACCCAAACGAACAAGCATATAAATAACAAAGAAACAATCAAGAGTTTAGTCTTCTTTATTCACTAATTCTTGTTTCTCCTCTCCGCTCTACTCTTAATTTGGTTTCTTTAATTGCTCTTCAAATAAAGAACTACAGGAAATTGAAATATACAAAGTGTAGCAATTACGTACTAGCAACGTACCTTTCACATTTGAAACAGCTCCATATGTAGAAAAGAGAAGATTTGATTACTTTTGACCTTGAAAAATGATAGTACATTCACTTGTTATATATGTACACTATATTTGACGAGAGAGATACACGAAAGGAACTTAGTTGAAAAGGCCAAAAAATATAGTTATCTAGCCTAAGTTCACGGACTCATAAATCAGTCAAAGCCATCGCACATCTTGTGAAGGTCTTCATCACAGACTTGCATGCATGAACACTGTTTTTATATATTGATATGGCATTGTAGTCTTTGTTTCTTCAACTACCAGTAATATTCTCAACTCTCTAGTATAGTAATTCACCAACATTGAAATACTGAAATTGTAAAGCAAAATAGCATGTGCTGCCTTGTGAGTGTGACTGTGTGAGAGGTAATGGATACTCGACCATACCAGAAAAGTTCCAATTCTTCAAACTAGTTTTCATTATCTATTTACTTTTTTATATTAAAATGTGGGTTAGTTAATACCTTATTTATTATTATTTGTCAAATTTACATGTTCGGAGGAGAAATTCAACTCAAATCTCTCTCATCAAGTCTCTTTCAATCCTTTTTTTCTTTTTTTCCAATCTTTCATTTTCGATTTTTCATTGTTTTAGTTTATTAGGACAACGAAAAATATAGAACGTGATAGGCGTAGAAAAAGTTTTCCTAATCTCTTTCATTATTTTTGGGACACATAAGTTATTTTTATAACGTAGATAATGAAAATTTCAGTTAAAGATAAGAAGAAAAACTTCAGTTTTATTTACTACTCCACATTATTTATAAGATAGGATAGGAATCATCAAGGTGATGTAGAACATTTATTAAAAAAATTTTTTTTTCAGAAGAGAGTCGTCTCGTCTCGATCTAAACATATATGCGAAAGCGAACATGGGAGAGGAAACTTCTATAGTTGTACGTTAATTTAATTATGTGGGATACATTCTATTAATATTTGTGTCTGTCACATGGATGAATTGATGATGGATCTATTAATACTTTAATTTTACGAATTTATTGCCCTACCGAAACATATTTATTAATACTTTTCTCTGGCCAAAGAAGATCGCATTTTCACATTTTCACGTCTCTTTCTTTACCAACAGAGAAATAGAAAGAGAAAGAGAGAGAGAGAGAGCGATTGCATCTTCTCTGCGACATGGATCATCATCAAGAATCGAATCCTCTTAAGGAGCTTGTCTCTCTATCTTCTTCTCCTTTCTTATCAACCTTGAAGATCAAGAAACCTGTATTTCTTGGGATCTCTCTTCTCACCAGCTTCCTTATATTCTCTGTCATCGTCGTCGATCCTTCCGGCTTCGAGCCTCATCTCTTTTTTGGATTCTTGTATTCATCACGAACCCTAACAAAGGAACGAGGAAACGAGGACGTATGCGACTATTCGTACGGAAGATGGGTACGTGGACGCCGTGGTGTGGACGAAACCTTTTATGGAGAAGAGTGTCGGTTTCTAGATCCTGGTTTTCGTTGTCTGAATAACGGGAGGAGAGATTCTGGTTTTCGAGAATGGCGATGGCAACCACATGGCTGCGACCTTCCACGGTAACTTATTCTTACATGATTTTGCTTGGACCTTAAGGCATTGGTGGTTTTGAGTAAAACAAACATCTAGGGCTTAGGGTTAACAAGCAATTCATTGATTCACGACAGTTTAGAGTTGTTTACGAACAAAGCTTCTAAATTAAAATCCCACTTTCGTTTTAAAAATATTTAAAAACTTGCCCACTTTAATTTTAGTTGGTTTTTGTGGGGTTGCAACTTTAGACCTTTAGTTATGAATCTTGCGCCAATCAAATTCAAACTTTTAACTTTATTTGTCAACTAACGTGACTTTGTTTACTTGTGACTTATAGATTCAATGCAAGTGATTTTCTTGAGAGGAGTCGGAATGGGAGGATTGTGTTCGTCGGAGATTCTATCGGAAGAAACCAATGGGAATCTCTTCTGTGTATGCTTTCACAAGCAGTGTCTAATAAATCTGAGATATATGAAGTAAATGGGAACCCTATAAGCAAGCATAAAGGTTTCCTTTCCATGCGATTTCCGAAACAGAACCTAACCGTTGAATATCATAGAACACCGTTTCTGGTCGTGGTTGGTCGGCCACCTGAGAACTCACCGGCAGATGTCAAGTTGACGGTTAGAGTCGATGAGTTTAACTGGCAGTCCAAAAAATGGGTCGGGTCTGATGTTCTAGTCTTCAATTCAGGACATTGGTGGAACGAAGACAAGACCTTTAACGCGTAAAGTCTTGTGAATTCAACATTCTGGTTACAAGAAAAATGTGATTGATGAGTCTTACCGGGTTTCTTTTGTTGTTCTTGTTGCAGGGGTTGCTATTTTCAGGAGGGAGGGACATTGAACAAGACAATGGGAGTAATGGAGGGGTTTGGGAAGTCTTTAAAGACATGGAAGTCATGGGTTTTAGAGAAGCTAGATTCTGAGAGTAGTTATCTCTTCTTCAGAAGCTTCTCTCCTGTACATTACAGGTCTGTTTCAGAAACAATCAAAGAAGATGAAGCAGACAAAAGTCTTTAGACGTTTGACCAGGTTTGAGATTTTTGGGTTTTCGCAGGAACGGGACATGGAACTTGGGTGGTTTGTGTGATGCAGAGACAGAGCCAGAGACTGATACGAAGAAAATGGAACCTGACCCTATCCACAACAATTATATTTCTCAAGTAATCCAAGAAATGACATATGAACATAGTAAGGTTAGGTTTCTAAACATTACGTATCTGACTGAGTTCAGAAAGGATGCTCATCCTTCGCGGTATCGAGAACCGGGAACTCCTGAAGATGCTCCCCAAGACTGCAGTCACTGGTGCTTACCCGGTGTACCAGACACTTGGAATGAGATTCTCTATGCGCAGCTATTGGCAATGAATTACTGAACAAAATGAAAAGAGGTATATGTATATATCGCTTCCTTCTAGTCATACTGCTATTTCCTCGACGCCTTCTTCAGTCTCAGTTTCATTTGTCTGCAGTTCCTTGATTTTCTCAAGCTGTCTCAATAAGTTCAACCTTTCGGACCCGTATGTGGAAGGAATCTAAATGAAGGATATTATCAAAAGTGATTCAAGGAGAAGGTTTTGAATTCTGAAGTATATGTATAGAGAAGACATGCGTACCAGGCCTGGGACATATCTCTGAATTCCAGCCAGCATGGCTGCGTGACCAACCGCTGTGACCTGTTCAGAATAGTTTATTATATTAGTCCCATAGACTAGAAAATGGAGCTGTGAATTAGAAATGTTAACACTGCAGAGGTCCCGCCACAGGTTTGTACAAAGCAACTATTTAAAGATGTAGCTTGGAATATTTCAGAGAAAGTGTATAACATCATCAGCATTACAAAAAAAAAAAGTGAACATAAACTTCTCTGTAAGGTTACTTTTTACTTACAGGAAGAAGCATTAGAATACCGATGGGAATAACTGATGCCAAGTCAGTCATGGTTCTGCGCAGGGCTTTCTTTTCTTTTCCTGTTAATTCATCACCAATCAGAGACCTCCTAAGTAGCTGCATAGCAGCTGCTGAATCAATGGCAAGAAGTTGAGTACCTTGCCACACGTCCTGTAAATGTAAGAAGTTAACTAAGTTGACAGAGGAAAAAATATTGACAAAGAAACACGCCATTTAGTTTAAGTCGAAGAGATATTTGGTACCGTGGTGGTTTCTCTTAGCTTTTGAAGAGTTTTCTCAATTAAGTTTTCCTTCTTAGGAGTCTGAACCAACTGAACATTTTCCGTTCTACTGCTTCGTTGAGTATCCTCAGAGATTATTTCCTGTAAATTTTGAAAAAACACTTGAAAGCTTAAACCGATGACACCAAAGACGCAAGACCCAACATATTGGATTACTAAAAAGGAGTTGTTTGGTCATCTTTTACCATGTTGAGAAGTTTAATCATGAACGTAACAGAGCTAAGAGCACAATACAGGATTAGGCTAGTATGGCCACTATTCATCATACAGGTTTTTGACTTACTAAAATGATAGTTAATCCAAGTAAAATGCACTGTTTGGTAAGTATGTAATTTTCTTATTGTTTAGAGATTTTAAGAGGAAATGAATGCATTATTGAAACTAGCAATTTGAGAATTAAGGAATCTTGCGGCAATTACTAACCTCGTCATCTACTGACTTATCAGTGCTTCTTTTGACCCGCTTTTCCAGTTCTATCAGCTCGTTCCTTAGAATTTCGAATCGGCTGATCTCATTTGGTTCTGACTCTATGCTAAGTAAGTTTCCACTGGATTTCCCAACATATTCATCTCCCTGCATATGCAAAAAGAATTCCTGAAACCTTAATCCTTGCTATACTGGAAATGACTGGATTTTAAATGCAACATCTTTATATTACATGAAAACGAAATAGTAGTATACACTAAGTAACTGACTGAACAAACACAGAGTACTAAGAGTCATCAAAATATTCCACGATACTAATATGCAAAGCCCATTGCAAGAATAATTAAGATAGGATCACAAAATGGATCTTACCGATAACTCAGGATTAAGCTCCTTCCTTGGAGGCCTCACAAAGAACCCCCAGAATCCACGACTCATACTAATGCACAAGAAAACAACAAATGTGACCAGAGTGTAACAAAAGAGTAGCTATGCGTATATCAGCTCAAACTAGCATGGTAGGAGTGAAGAGGAATCATAATAAGAAATAGGTAGCATACCTTTTGCCTTGATCCTCAGAATTAATTGCGTTGTTTGTGTCTTTTCCTTTAAAATACCTTTTTTGTACCACGTAGGATTCCTGAGAATCATTTTTGTCACCTCCCTGAGTCCACCATGTGAGGTTTTAGTCTCCCACACAAAATTAAAAACACGACATGCACTTTCAACTATTTTTTTCTTATTCTATAGTGAGACTGATGCAGCGCCACGTAAAGAGGGATATAGTTGATTTGCTTTAGTCCAGATAAATCATAACACACAAGCAGGATCCAAACAAAAAGTGAAAATGAAAAACAAAAACCTGTTGCAAGGAAGCTGCTTTGGCTCTAAAAGTTGCCTCCAGAAATTCAGCCTCTTTCTTAAGCTTCCGTATTTTTTCTAGGTCAGAGCAAGCGGCTTTTATTTGTTCCTTCCCAGACGATGAGTTTGACACATACAACTCCTGTAGCAGGCTTTCCAGTCTCACGAGGGCTTCATCTACACTTTCTAGGGCCTGAGGAAAATAAAAACAATCTTTAACATGAATCCAAGTAGTGTACGAAATACAACAGTCCTTCTCAATAGACCAATTTATAAAAGACCAACCTTGTCAAATGAGTTTGACTCTCTAACAATTGATGATGCATTCCTGTAAAAAAATAGATTTTTGTTACTTCCATTCTGCATCATACATTATCCGAATGCAGAAAGTCTGCTAGATTGATAGCAACTGATAAAAGCAGGCTCCAGAATCATGAATGTGACAAATGAAAAGTTAATGGAGGTGTCAAGGATGCTTCCCTTACAATTTGTTGTAATTACGATATAATTGTAAATATCCAAGACATATGGTTTGAAATTTGCTTAGAAGTATGTTTCTCACAGGTACCCTCTCAATTATTAGTAGAGTATACCAATCAAGCAGGAAAGTGATTTTCCAAATGCAGGCATGAATGTATAGATTAGAGAGAGGGGGTTTCCGTTATCTTACTTTAATATCCCCAGTTCTTCTTTACACTGAAACAAAGTCTTGTGCCTGAACATTAAGAAAGACAGTCAGCACCACACCTAATTACTTTCTTTATTGTCCAGATATTGAGTAGACATTATGTCAAATACCCCTTGGATAAGAATTTTGCTGCCTTGACATTAGAAGGACTCTCTGGCCATTTACTATATTTAATAAAGCTCTGCAGCCAATAAGAGCAAACATCCAATAGTTCGGGAATAACTTCATAATTAGGTGGCCCTTCTGGTTTGCTTTTATGCCCATGTGATTGTTTTGGAGGCTGTGGGCCAGTATCATTTGGATAGAAAGGAATCCATTCTAGTTCTTCGCAAACAACCTACACAATAAATTTCCATGAAAAGACGTCAATATAGTCCTTAGGAATTTTCTGCCAATGATTTGACTAATGTCTACCTCGACATACAGCTGGTATGAACTGATGGCTGAAAGTTGAGGATAGTATAGGACGCTACCCCCAATAAGATGCCTGAGTTGAAATTGTTCATTCGTATAGGTCAAGAGTGTGGTAAGCAAACACAAACTTACAAAAGTGTAAGGGAATGGAAATAGAGTGAAACAGGGACAATTACCTAACAAGGTCTTCCAAAGGATTCTCCAAAGAATCAAAACCATTTGCAGCTAAAATAGACTGTGTGCTCCTGCCTAAAGCAATGAAGAATCCAAAAATTGCTAAATCTCTCTCCAAAACCTGCAAGGCACCGACAGGTTCCAATTAACTTCAGAAGATCTAATGTACAAGTATACTGCCATAAATCTTACAGGATAATAAAATATAGATAAACTCAGACCAAACATCTACCAAAAAGGAACTCTGAAAACTAAAGACTACCACTTTTTTTTTTGCTTCTACAAGGGTAACTTTATCTAGATCCTTAAAAACGGTTTGTACCACTTCCTCATGTTTGGATTGGCACTGACAAGGAGAGTATTCTAGACAAGCTATTATACTCAGATTCAAACATCAAAAAGAACTCATATGACCACTGCACAGAAAGCCTAAAGCTTCTTAGATGTGTCTTCTGGACGCTTCTAATTCTTACCTCTATACTTTCGGATGTCGTTAACTTTGACCATATTTTCTCTCGATCTATAGCCCGCTGCAGTTGCTTCTGTATGAGATCGACCCAGAAAACAACTTCATCTGTAGCAATGTCACCATTTACTCTGCACCCTGCTGCGCGAGGACCAAAATGAGTAAGAAATTCTCTTTGTAGGCCTATGCTTTTGATTGAATGATACGCTTGGGGAAGTGGTACGATGTCTACAAGTTTTTCCATCAATCTTCCAGTTGTATCTGGAATCATAGAGAAGAAGGGTGGGCAGGAAAATTTTGCCGGGCCAACTTTCATTATTGCTGCAATGCAATTGAGCACAAGCATAAGAAGTGACACCTCAACCTCATTACTTGCAGCTGTGGACTTCCCTTTTGCATAGCTGGAATAAACCATTAAGAACTGTTTACTTCATCAAAACCTCACAGTCAAGTTTATACAGTACTTATAAGGTGTGATTCGAAAGCTGTAAACAAAAAAGAAGGAGATTTGAAAGAAAAAAACATACACAGAAGTGGCAGCAACAAATCGTTGGTCCCCCTCTATGTAATTCACGAAATATGTTACTATGGAAGGAATTTGCTCGGACCAAAACCATTCATAGGCTTTAGGGTGTTTTGAAGATAGATTATCTAGCATCATATTCTCAAGAAGAGCAGCTTGGCGTGATAAGCTGTTTAATGCCAAAAATATATGATAATTAGAAATATAGAATAACTCAAAGGTTGTATTATAGCACGATCAGTTCGAGAAAGATATCCAACATTGATGAAGACAGATTCCTCAGAAGAATATGCTAGAAATATGTACCACAAAGCAACACAACTGGACATCTAAAAAAAAATCTAGGCTGGAAAGTTTGTGTTCACTAGTTAACATTGCCCTCCTCAGATTCATTAGTAATAACTTAGCCGGAAGATATATGGCCTGACTCCAAAAGCCAACTATTTGAGATGACTATCTATAGGTAAGTGAATGAAATCTAATATGGTGAAAAGGAAGTAGCTAACATATGAAGCAAAAACGTATTAACGAGTTGTTCTACTTGTGTATTAAAAGGAAGTGCCAGATTCAGTAATCAACTTGTGTTACCTCCTTTGAACAAAGACATTAACATCCTCGTCTCTGTAAATTCCTCTAGATGAAATCTCATTTACTGCTTGTAGTAAAGAGTACAGAGAAGCCTGTGAAACATGAAAGCAAGTAAAAATTGAGAAATTGGAGACAAAACATTGACAAGAAAAAACTTCTTTTGCAAGCATAAAGATGATTCAAACTAAAAGGAATGAACATACCTGATAGGAAAGGGTCTTCACCCATGCATTCTTATCAGCACCTAGCCAGGTCACAGAAAACCATGAAAATCTGGACGGAGAAATCTTTTCTATAACAGCCAACTCAAGAGTTCTGGCGGCATCGTGCAAAGACTGAAGTAGCCCATTACAGTTGTTTTCGCTTTCTACTGATCCGGTGAAACTGGCCCTTATCTCCCGAGAATTACTGTTAGATCTTGGCTGGGGAGTTCCATTGATAGCCACTCTATCTTCAGCAGATGCCAAGACCAGCATCTGTGACCTCTTCTTGCTAAGACGACTTTTGCTCTTTTCCAAATAACCATATCTTATACACAACTGGCTCCTAGGATTGCTCCAGCAATTTGATAAGTATTCTAAGTGTACCGTCTTTTTGCAGGATATAAAAGTTACAATAGACATCCTTGGCAGACATGGATTTGAAGAGCTACAAAATACGAGATTCAGTATTAAGCAGCTAATCAAACCAAAAGGAATGATCTACTGAGAAGAAACAAAAATTGTATCATTTAGCTCAGTTCCCCTTTCTGGAATTGACTCAGAGAGGGTATAAACAACAAAGCGAATCGAACACTGGTGAAGATGATAGTTGATTGAAAAAAAAACCCAAATTAATTCCCACTAATAAATCGCAAAGGATCACAAAAAAATTGAATGAAACTAATCTGAAACGAAAGAAGAAGCTGTAGTGAGAGTTTGTGTTACCTTGAAGATAGAAGACCAGGTCGCTGTAGACTAACTGCCATCTACATGGAGCGGGAAAAAAATAATTTTTCACGTCTTTGGTTTGGTGAGAAAATGGAGAAAATTGACGAGAAAAAAAATGAAATCATTTGTAGAAGAAGAAGAAGAAGAAGAAGGTGACGTGGCACCAGGAAGGCTCGTTTATCCTTAAACCAAAAAAAGGCAGAGAGAGCATATACCCAATGAGAGCTCCGTGAAAGTCCACTAATATAACGCCACGTAATGTCTTTCTCTGTTATTTCCTGTAACGTTATCATTACTCAGCATTTCGGGAAAAAAAAAACATTTTACGTAGTCGACGACGACGACGACGGGCAGACAAATATAGCTAGGAGACATTTATAAAGACAGAGGTATAATAATAATCATACTTTCATTTTTTTCTTCAAGAAAGATTGATACAACACAACACAAGGCATAATGAGTATTAATTACACAAACGATATTAATTTTTTTACAATAATGATGAACTGAAGAACACACATGTAACATGTATGTAGTACGGTGCTGATTTAGTGTCTTCTGAGAGCGACGCCGGAGATGACGACGAGGATGGTGAAGAAGAGAACGGAGACAAAGGCGGAGACAACAGCCCCGCTGGATTTCTGACAGAAATCTCCAAACTGTTGGCAAATGGGGAGCCAGTTCGTGTTCTGGTTTCCATTGTGTGCTAGATACGATATTGCTGCCGCTGATGAAGCAGCCGCCATGTTCAACCCCAGAATCCCCTGTCCCCCAACACAAATTCTTATTATTTCACAATTTCTACTTTATGCTAAAGGTTTGGTAAAACTTATCAAGTTAAGAAAAGAAAAACGTAATGTAATTTGAAGAGTTTGAGTGTATATTTACAGTGTCAAGAACAAGCAAGAGGAGTCTCGGGGCGGTGGCAAGAGGGCGGAGGATTGTAACGACGGATATTGGAAGAGACAGAACGAGATATCCTCCTACCAGGGCCATGGCAATCACAAAGAACCTGAAATAAATATATGGACCTAATTAGGTGACTTGTTTCACAAGAAAATTCAAGAATGTGTTTGATACTTTGATTGATCAAGCATTTATAAATCCTACTGGAAAGTTGGTAGGTCATCGTAGCTAGCTTCGAACTGTAAGAACTGTGTGAAGAAAGGAAGAGTCTCGTCACTTGTTCCCATAGTTGCAGCAGCGACTAAAGCTGCAACAATGGCAGCTAAACGGAGGAGGAAGTCGAAGATGGCGAGACCTCTCTTGTATCCACCTGAGCCAGTAGCAGTGTGGTCTCTAGCAACACCGATCAGAGGAGCTTTTCCTTTCATGGCTGAGCTGGATTCTGCAGGGACATCGATGAAGGTGGATTCGTTCTTCATATCTCTTAATTTGCTTCTTGATACTTAAAAAATATTTTGTGTTGCCTTGAGAATGGAATCAGAAAAAGTTCAATGATTCGGTGGTTAATGAGCAAAGGGATTATGCATTGGGTTTTATAAGGTCTTTAGGGCTCTGCTGGAATCAATGGAGCAGAAGAAGTGGGGAATTGAAGAGTAGTTGTTGCTTGCCTTTTTACTCTCTCCACATTACTCTTAATTAATTAAAAGAGAGATATGGAGTTGGCAACATAATACAAGTCACAAGTCTGTAGATTTAACTAAAATATTAGTGTTTTCATTATCCAAAAGTCTTTCACTGGTCCTCACTTCATTCATTTCCCTAACCAACAGGGAATATGCCAAATTTATTCTGATTTTCATGGGATTAAGATTAAGCAGGATTCTTAAACTACTAATGTATATAATGAGACAGATGAGACACTGGAAAGCTTTGGTTATAACTATATTTACTATCATATGATTCAAAATCCAGCACATGAAAACAAGCATCCTAAAAAGCCTTGAAGACCCCTAACTGATACACAACAACTTGATCTCTCAAATGAGAAAAACAACCCAAATCCACTTCCACCTAATGACTTCCCAAGAATCATGTAAAGCTAAACTAAGATTGGTAAGAGACAGAACAGAAAAGGAAGGGTGATTTTACTGTTCTTTTTGCTACACAAGCAGACATCTAAAGTCTAGTAGTTCCTATAGTCTTGGAAGTAAAAAGCAGGAAGAGCTCATGCAATCTTTTCTTTCACACCTTTTCCCGGACGGGTCATGAATCTGCAAAGACATTGATTAACCTTTCTTAATTTTCTGGCATTTTGCAGCAGTTTGAGTTCCCAGGTATCTAACTAGTGGAGTCCATTCTCTTTGAGAGGTGCGGGGATTGGGTTGGTAAAGAGGAAGGTACAGGAGCAGAACCATTGGCCTTGAGAGAAGGAGTGGCTTCTCCAGTAAAGCTGAGTTTTGATGCTCCTAAGTCTTTTGAGATTAAGGGATCATCTTGGACCTCTTTTTGCAGCATTTCCATTCGCCTTAAGGACGGTACTTCACCTTTGCAGTACTTTTTCCACATATTCCGGTATGCAGATTCAAGAGCAACAGCAAAGGAGGGACCATTACAAACAGGGGATCCAGCCATTAGATCCCGGAGACTCATTCTCAATTTAGAAAGAGCTGTGACATCAGAGGCTAGATCAACAGATAATTGAACATACTCTTCCTCGCTTTTGGCAACCAGGTGTCCTAATCCTGATTCAACAAAAGGTTGCATTAGCTAAAAGATGTCCGGAGTAAAAACTAATTTTATGAAAAAAAACCAAACTTTGCTGAGAGCTTACCAACTTTAGTGAGAAGACTGACACCAACATTATGAGCATGTACCGAGCCAGCCATTGTAACGCATGGAACTCCCATGTAGAGAGATTCACAGGTAGTGGTAGTACCGGCATATGGGAATGTGTCCAAACTGCATTAAATGTATACGGAATATGTGAATCTATCCGCTTCGGTGTTTTCTAGAGCACTATGTGTCAAATCTTACCTAATATCCATTAAGGAATAAGCTTGCATATGGTCGTGATTGAAAAGAATCAAAGGCAAGAGATCAACACGCTTTGATTCTAACCCAAGCTGCTCCAGCGTCGTGAGAAACCTCTGCCTAATACTATCACAGCAGAAGGGTTTGCATTTTACCACTAGGCGAGAATTGGGAACTGCACACAGTATCCTAGCCCACACTTGCAGCACCTTCGGAGTGATCTGATTTGCAGAAACACAGAGATTAGCCTATAACATTAAAGGATATACTAGGGGAGATCGGTGTGTATGGTCCAAAGACAAAAGATATCTAACCTTTGCGAGATTGTTGAAACTACCAAATGTGACAAAGCCATTGGAAAGCGCAGGTGTTGGACAAACAGGACCAGCCTCTGGGGAAGGCGTATAACAAAGAAAAGACTCTGGAAGCCTAACCAGCTCCTCCACCTGCCTGCAATCAAATCCACAAAATAAATAAAAGTACTAAGGTTTCTCTTTGGATCACATCCAAAACCCGATAATTTCATTATGAACCAGAACGTACTTTTGTTTGGTGTCTAGTGGGTCAGCCAACGAATCCGTGATTCTGTAATCAACAGTGGGCAAACCCGTAGTATTTGGATAGCCTATCCAAGTAACCTGGTATTTTAGCCAATTAAGTTAAAGGCAAAATCTGACAACAACATGAAACAAATTTATCTATTCTCTCACCTGAACAGGTGCTGGTCTACAGGCCATTGTTCCCAACTTGTTGTTTGCCGTATGACCTGTGAGTTCTACCAAAATGTCGATTTTGTCTTCTCTGACCATACTTGCTATTTTTTTCTCATCTATCCCGTATATATCTTTCCAAACTCCCCCTTTCTTCAACACTTTATCCCTAAACCTATATGTTTTTGCATCTGCCTGCAAAACCGTGAGAGAGCAAGAATTGCTCAAAGGGGAAAAAGAAAACAAGAAATGTATTGCCTTGAAGGAAAATGTATATATATATACGTAAAAATCCTACCTTAACTACCGCTGAATAAACCACCACTTTGTACTTTGTATAATCATGATGCGTAAGGGGGGCTTCAATGAAATAAGATACTGAATGAGTGAAGAAATCTGGTGAGATATATCCAATGGTGATAGGTCGCTCTGGATCTTTCAGATTGTCCCATGAAGTGTACTGAGGGTGTAATCTTGTGAAGCGCCAACCCCAGTCTCTGTGTTCACGACAGCTTTTCACTGTAAGACCCATAAAAGCAGCATAAAACAAATTCGCATTATTTATATATGTGCATACCTGTGAGCCTCAAATAGTTTGTCATCGAGTCCTTCATTTATGTAGTTCATGGCAAGCAATCGGTTCTACATAAGGGAAAGGAAGGTTTTAAACACATATCTTTCAGTCTCATATTAAGAAGAGCATGCTTAAGTATAGATACCTGGCCAGCATTGCGGGAATCTGGATCTATTTTAAGGCATTCCTCATAAGCATCAATAGCCATAGTGATATTTCCAGCATCTCTGTAAAGAACACCTACATTTGAATCGCACTATGAGGCAGGTTACAACAGACACTAAACTGCTCTTAGCGCCAGGGAGGTAGGAGAAAAAGAAAAAGAAAAAAGCATCTAAATCTCAAAGCTTACACGTAAGGAAGCTCGTAAAGAACAGAAGAGGAGAAAACAAACCTAAGTTGTTAAAAGCTTCAGCATATGTTGGATTAGCGAGGATGGCCTTCTCAATCATGCTGGCAGCAGCATCCATTTTCCCCTGTAATGTCAGATGAATTGGCACTCTATCGACTCTGGAGATTCAGTTAAGAAAACTGTAAGCCACCCTTTATCATATCATACCTGGACTGTGTAGACGACACCAAGGTTATTAAGCGACTGCGCGAAATTCGGTTTGATTGATAGAGCCATCTACATAGATTAGGAGATATTATATTATACGCCACCAAACATAATGAAATCCTTATGAAACGCTGCAAATATCTGCAAAATTAATACCTGATAACACTCTACAGCTTTATCAAGGTTGTCGCGGTCTTTGTAAAGTACCCCCAAATTGTTGCAAGCCTCAGCACAATGTGGATTGAAGTTGAAAGCAAGCTCATAGAAGACAATTGCCTGCACATTAAGAATGCAATCATGACACAATCATATTTCATTTTTGGGCTCTGCACTTCACGTTATAATATATAGGGATATACATAAAAGGTTTTGAATTAATTACAAGAACATGGGGAGAAGGATCAAAATATAAGTTGATAAACTTATAAAGATAACGATCATATTCTCATGCAAGTACAATGGTGAAGAAAGGATAAACATGTAGTAACAAGCCCACAATTACTGAACAACAGAAATGAACAAAACACAAGTTAAATAGATTAAATACCATGTCAAACTTCAGCATTTCACCGTAAGCCACCCCAAGATTATACATAGCATCTGCATAGTGCCAGTTATAATAGAGAGCCTTCTTGTAATATGCCACTCCTTGGGTCACATCGCCTTCAAGTTTAACCTGTACTATTCATTGACAAGTCAGATGTACTCACAGCTCAACAGCTTCTCGCCAGTGGTAAAAAAATTATTAAGTAACTGTAAACCAAAATTTTAAGGTGAAGATCTGTACTAGTAAATGACAGAAACACATTCCATACCATTTCCGTGACATAAGTAAAAAGCGCATACAGCAAAAAAATCCAGCTTAACAAACGAAGTTAATTATGAATTGTCCAGAAGGCGCCCCTTTCAAAAAGTTATCCTTGAGTTACCAAAATTATGATCAAAATTAAGGACTATTACCTTTGTTCCTAGATCTGTCAGAGCTATGGCCATATTGTTCTTCGCAATCTCAAAGTTTGGAGACACAGCTAGACATCTAAGGGCAGAAGAAGGAAAAAAAATCAGTGCCACACTTATACCTTCAACAAAGTAGCAAGAAACCAAACAAAACTCAGCAATGAAATAACAGATATGCTACCTCTCATAACAAGTGATTGCCATCTCCAAGTCACCACGGTTCTTATAAATGACACCCATGTTACAATATGCTTCAGCATACATAGGCCTCTCAAGTGCAGCCTTCTCGTAGCAGCTCAAGGCATTGTCGTATTGCATCATTTCAGAGTATACAACACCTAAGTTATAATATGCAGGCTGCATAATGAAAATACAGCATAATGAAATCAGAGAATCAGTCATATTGCATCATTTCGGAGTATACAACACCTAAGTTGTAATATGCAGGCTGCACAACGAAATTACAGCGTACTGAATTAGAGAATCAGTTAAATGGTACCAACGGTGTAAAATGGTATAAACAGTGTAAAATGGTAAAGGATCAGAAAAATTACAGCATAGTGCGGATCAATCTTAAGGGCTTCGTAATACTTTTGAATTCCCTCCTGAGTATTCCCAGCCAGCTTCAGACTCGTTCCAAGGTCAGTCAAAACAATTGCTAAGCACTCCGCAGCTGGCTTGTATGATGCATCTGCCATCAGTGCTTTCTGGTAAGACTGCAAAATATGATGATTACTAGTTAGAAATTGGTTTACCCAGAAAAGGGAATCTAAAGCATATCACCAAGTAAACAAGTTTTACAGCCTAATTAATACAGCACCCTCTAATGAAAATCACCACAGATAGAAGGTAATGTAATGCCACACCTCAGCAGCTTCTACGAGGCGACCCTCTTCTTTATGAAGTATACCACAGTGCGTGAGGGCACAAGCATTATGCGGATCCAACCTGATCGCTTCAGAAAAACAATCGAAAGCTAGATTCCCTTTGTTTTGCGTCTGCAAGCATATCCCTTTCCCAATGTGAGCTTCAACATTCTTGCTATCTTTCTCCAGCATAGTCTCATAGAGAGCAAGCGCATCAGCAAACTTGTTTCTTGCCCGAAGAATATTGGCATAAGAAAGCGTGTCATTCCCCTGAATGGCCTTTTGTGATGGGGACAAAACATCTGTGCTAGGAGATGATCGAGATCCATTGGAGAAACCATTCTCTACGACTGGTGACCGCTCTTTCTCAGCATTATCTTCCAGCCCAACCATTTATTGTAACACAAAAGCTTGTTAACCTTCACGGAAACACATCAAAGAATCAATGATAAGTGAGGAAAAAATATAAGTTCAGCACTGCTGACAAAAGATATGAAGCTAAAGAATTGATCTTTTACAGTATCAACTCCAGCACATCACATTAAATTCCTACAAGAAACCCTAAGATCAAGAAGCGGAGAAATGTGCAAAAAAATCATATCTTTGGGATATAAACCCTAGAAATTAAACTAAAAGAAACGATTAAGTAGAGAATGCATCTGTACATGAGAGTAAAAGAAACACAAAGTTGCGATAATTAGGGTTTAACGATAACTTACGGCAAAGCCTGAAGAAAGAGGAACTCGACTCTGTAGTGGCGACGAAACTCTGAAGCCGCTAGAGACGAAATCGAGAGGCTAGAGAAGAATGATAGCTGCGGGTGGAGACATAAGAGAAGAAGCTGATCCCCTGCCTCGCTCTCCTCGGGAAACAGAAGAAAGCGTTGATCAGTAGCAACTTAGGGATTTTATAACCTCAAGCGGTGGAGTCGTTGCTTGGCCGTGAATGGACGGAGCGGAGGCGGAGAAGGCGACAGGGGAGCCTCTGTTATAAGCTCGGGGACAAGCGCGAAGAGGTAGGAGGTCGGTCCGAGCCAGTGGACAGAGGCAACGACTCAGATTAGCTCTCTCCTGGCTTCTTTTTTTCTTTTTTTCACGGCTGGATGATTGTTTCCTTTTTAAAAAAACAATATATGTATTTGTATGGAAAAAAAAAATGAAAAAATTGACAAAATAGTAACTATATTGCAACAAAAGAAAAAAAAAGGAAAAAGGGAAATAATAACCCAAGATATGGTAACAAATATTTAATGTTTATTTCATACAAATAGGCCTACATACACATGACAGTGAGAATCTATTATTTCTATTTAGACATTTAGGAGATTTTATTTTTCATGGACTAAAATTATAAAACAATTTCTACATGTGTGTAAAAAACAAAAAAAAAAACCCTTCTCTTGCAGCCATTGATGATGATGGAGATATGGAATTATTGACATCTCTATAATTTGCTCAATTCTCACATGTAAAAGTAGAACAAGTTGACTTTGGAAACACATATTGGTAAAAAAGAAAAAATAGATTTTTGACCCAAAGAAAATACATATTTTAGCAAATTGAATGTCTACATAAGAAACATGTCACGTAAAACGGTAAAAAAAAATTCACACGTTTGTTGTTTCATAATGGCTTAATCATCAGTAAAAAATTCCACAAAACATATTTTTAACCATTTTTGTTTGCTTGGGCAAACCAAATCTACTAATTTAAAGTCATTACGAGTAAACGTAGTTCAAATTGTTAAAATCACTCTCGTGTGCAAACAAAGTGGGCGGTAGAGGTATAGAGCAAAGAAGAAGAAGTATTTTACAAGTGGGTGCTGAAACATGTCGGCCTCCACTAGCGTTCTCCTGCTCCTGCCTCTTTTGATATAACGATCATTTGACTCAAACTCTCAACTAGTGTGGTCGCAATTATGTCAATTTCATCTTGTAATAATTGGTCTATGCTATAGTTTTTTTCACCGTCAAATAATGGACTATGCTACTCTTGTTAACCAATAACACTGTCTGATAGAAGTAGAACACCTGATTCATTGAACACCTTTTGTATCATCATCACCAGACATGAAAGCACTAGATCATGCTGGAGATCATTTTACATACCATAACTTATTTGATGGAAACGAATCAACTCGACAAATAGTTTGTTTTTTATCGTCTGGATTTATTATTGAATGTTTTATAGTCAGTTATTATTAAATCAACTCTACTATTATTTTTTATAGTTTAAATATATATAATATGTTTTAATGTATTTTCAGTTGTAATTGCTTATAAACAAAAAAAAAAAATCAGCATTTCATTTGTTTATTTTTTTTTATCTTTGATGCTAATAATGTAAAACCATTTAAATATTTTTTTGACGATTAGTGTGAGCTTTGGTTCAAAATTTTCAGTTATAAAATACGTTTTTCGATACAATATGAATGAGTTATTTCTTGGTACACTTATTTTGATCTATACTATAAACCTAGTTTCACTTAACTTTAGATTTAAATAAATTTATATACTAAAATAAAATCAAAACTACAATCCTGAAAACCAATAATAACCAACTAAACCAAAAGGATGAAAATCGATCAATTAACCCAAAATCGATTAAGGAGAAAAAACCAATTTTGGCCGGTCATACATTTATTTTCGATTTTGCTCCCAAATCCTCTCTCTCTCTCTCTCTCTCTCTCTCTCTCTCTCTTTCAGGGCAACAACAAAATCATCGCCTTCCCTGTTACTGTCACCGGCGATCAATCAAGACTCGATCTCCGGTAATCAGAACTCTTCTCCTTCGCCGACATGGCGATGACCATCGAAGGTAAATCTAATCACTTCTCTTTCAAATTGTAAATCACTACCCGACGGAATAGAATCAGATTCAAGTCGGATTTGCTCCTTTTTCCTTGTGTCCTTTGCTCCATGTTATTCTTCCGTACGCTTTAGATTGAGTCTTGAGAGTTAATTTTGATTCCGCGGTTTTTTTCCTTATGATTCATGATTTGTTAATTTTGTGAGCTAGGGCTTTTTAAAAAAAATGTTCAAGCTCACTAATTGTTTGCTATTTTTTTTTTGCTTCTAATGTTCCGATGCGGATTTCTCCTGGAATGCTCAACGTTGCTGTTTTTTTTGGCACAGTGTAAGTTTAAGACTACTTTGTTGTTATATCCGAGTATATGTATATACTCGTGATCTTACAGATTTATATTGTCTTGATTGCACAGACTTGCTGGACTTGCTTTCATGTTCTCATCTAGTATCCTTCTACAGATCCTGGTACGTTTACACATAACTGTTTTCTTGTCTTATAACCCTTGAAGCCCCATCATAAATTGTCTTTGCTTAAGATCATGACTTATTTGAGATTCTGCGAGAAGCTTCTGAGATCAATATGCTCATTTATGTTTGTTTTGCTCAAGTGTAAGCTAGTTCTACTGTTAGGTTGTGAGCTCAGCTGAGTGATTATACTAGTCTCCCTTTGTACACTGGTTGGTGTTCTAAACAGAGTTGCGAGTCTTAGCCTATATTATGCTTGACGAGATGCTTTCTTAAGTAAAATCTGTTACATTCAAACCTTATCCATATTTGAAGTTTTGAGCTTCACTCTCTTATATGTTGATTAACTAGCTCCAGACCAAAACTAGAATTCTTATCGTTATCAAATTCCCACACTAACTGACCTTAGTATATCCTAATCTGGGTTCCTTATCCGTAGCCGATGCTAACTCAGTGTCTAACTTACCAAATGACTTGAGACTTCGTAAACAACTTCGCTAAAGTCCTCATATTAGGTCTAATATATTTTTGTTGCAATTCGATTAGAAGAAGAAGGGATCATCAGATTTACATATCTGATCAGTTTCTCATATTTTGTTTTTCCCTTGTTGTAATATGCAATATGTAACACATGTTTATAGTCATCTGAGAAATAGAGTGATAACTATTTGTTGATGATGCTCAGGCATGTGCAATATATGGTAACTGGTGGCCAATGCTATCAGCACTCATGTATGTAGTGGTGCCTATGCCTTGCATGTTCTTTGGAGGAGGGTCAACCCAATTCCTTACTAGTCGGGACGGTGGAGGGTTAGTTACGAAAGAGACTTTACTGCAAATTCGGTTTACACAAAACATTGATTTACCAAATTTGCTCAATCGTTTAAACGCAGGTGGATAGATGCAGCAAAGTTCTTGACGGGAGCGTCGACAGTGGGCAGCCTCGCTATCCCAATCATCTTAAGGCACGCACATATGATCGAGACGGGTGCAATGCTCATAGAATTCACATCGTTCTTCATATTCATTTGCACTGTGATGTGTTTTCACCGGGCTAGTCTTGATGATGATTGGTAACAGAGAGATTGTTGCTCGTGATTTACTAATTGGATTTGTATGAGCAAAGAGAGATAGTGAAGAAGAAGATGAGGTAATTATGAACCCGAGTAAAAAAAAGTGGTTCAGAAAGTTGTGTTTGTCTCCCTCATTTGTAAAGCTTTGTATTATCAATCAGTGTGTGTAGGAAGTTTTATTCATCATTGTGAATGTTTTCTTGAAACAAGTGCCAAAACATGTTCAGAAAACAGTCTTTCGATGTAGGATTATAAAACTTTTGGTGTGTTAAAGCAACTTACATAGTCTGCTTTAAATCTTTAATGTCTCATGTCTGTATGGATTCTGGAAAAAGACCTCCTAGGACTCCTGGTAGAGAAACTCATAAAACAATACTCGCATTATCCGATAATCCGAATATAGAATTTCCAAAAGGTTCAGTCAGATATATAATTAGCGTTTAGGGCCGGTTAACCCATCAAATATGTTCAAAAATAACCGAAGAAACCTAAATCGAAATAATGTGAGAAGAGCCCATGGACCATGGACTTATTTTTGTTGAACAAACCTTACAAGGGTAGAAGCGTCATTGCCCGAAGACTCCTGTGTATATATATCTTCTCCACTACCCTAGCTCTCTTAAGGAGTAGCCGTCGTCTATGAATATTTATCGTTGTTTTCGCAATGTAGTGTTTTAATTCTCTACTAGACTCATGCTATATCTTCATCATCGTTTGTGTGTTCTCTCACGTTCATTGATTTGGTTTGTTTCTTTGAATTTTCGAAACGGCGAGGGATGATGATTCAATTAGATGTGCGAATGGAGAAATACTTCTCTATTTTGAGCTCAAAAACTATATTTGGCATTTTTTACTGACTTCGCCGTCAACATGTCTTTTCTTTGTTTTCGATTGGAAAAGTATGGAGGAATGGGTTTTATGAATGAGGATTCAATTAGATGTGCGAATGGTTTCATCATGATCTCAAAAACTCTATTTGGCAATTTATCTGACATTTCCCATTTCTCCCTAGTTATTCCAATATTGTTTTCCCGCTGGATTCAAACTATACACACAGTTTTAATCTGATTTTGGTTTATAATGACTGACTCAGTCAGTCTGAGTTTTGCTAAGTTTGATCATGAAACCTTTGGTTGCGTTATTATAAAATTGTTCCGCTTGATAAATAAGTAGATAAATTAATTCTGGGAAGACGAATCAAAATTTAGATGTCACCTAATATTGCATTACGATGGATATCCTCTCGCCCTAAATGATTGAGATATGAGCACATGAGCTGAACGTAATGGAATTGAGTAAGCTTCATCACTAACAAAACAAAATAGTGTACTTCCAATCTAAAGTCTAAACAACATTTTACTTAAAATTAAATACTATTAAGCCTGGTGTTCAAAAAAAAAAAATTTAAATACTATTAAGCCTTGTCCTAAAGCTGGCTCAACCCGCTCCGTTCAAAATGTAGTATTGTCAATTGTGGATGGAAAGAGAAAGTGACATTATTTATCAATTATCATACGATATTAGGCTTAATTCTTTCAAACCATAATCAGAAAAAGACAATAAATTTCCCGTCGGATCTTAAGAAAATCAAATGAACGACCAATCTTATTTGTACTCTCGATCCATTTGTTGTGCAAATAAAGGTATAAGCAAAAAAAAAATTAAAAAATTGCTTTGACCCGAAGAAAAAAACCATATTATGGAATAGAATCTTCATTTAGTACAAATTAAAACCCCAAACCTTGTCATTAATGGGAAGAAATAAACCTGTAATTAAAACTCAGACCTGCTCAGTGCTCATTTTAAAATGTCACTTAAAAAGTGTGAAAGGCGTCAATATTTCCCACAGTCCAACGGTAACTTGGGATAGGGAGGAGAATGAATGGGTAAAAAACTAAAAAACAAAACTTGCTCACACACCGTTAGATTCGAAGCTCATCCAACGGCTAAAGACCTAATCCCGCTAAACATTTTGACCGTTGCAATTATGCTTTAATGGCTCCTCCTCCTCACCTCTCCCCCTTAATCCCTCTAAGTAACCTTTCTCCTCATACTTTCAGATTCTTTACAGTTCAAGAAGAAAAATAGTCTTCAGATCATGGCGACTAGACCAGTTAGAGGTTTGTTTAGCCGATCAATCTCTGTTTTTTTCGTAGTTGACCATTTTGGTATATATAATCTCGTTGTTGATTGGGTTGCTTTATGTGGAAAAAATCAGGTGAACCAAAGAACCGCCGAGCTCTTGGTGATATTGGAAACATCGATTCACTTGCCGGTGTTGATGGAGGAAAGATTAATCGTCCCATCACTCGTAACTTCCGTGCTCAGTTGCTAGAAAACGCACAAGTTGCTGCCGCCGCCGCCGCTAATAAAAAGGTCTTCTTTTTTTTTTCTTATCAAACCTCTTGTGGCTCAGAGCTTGTTATGTGATTCTTGAATCTTACTTATATTCCCTCTGTCCTGTTGCAGGATCCGATTCTTGATGGAGCTAAGGCTGTTGTTACCAAGAAACAAGAAGTTGTAAGAGCGGTTCAAAAGAAAGCACGAGGTGCTCATAAGCGGGAGCCATCAAGACCTATTGAAGTCATTGTGATTAGTCCTGATACAAACGAGGTTGCCAAGGTTAATAAAAGTGATGCAACTGTGTCGTCTAATAAGAAAGTAACATACTCTTCGGTTCTTGATGCTCGTAGCAAGGTTAGATTCTTTGATTCTGAAAGTATAAATGTGCAATGTTTCTCTTGTTTGCGTGTCCTGATTAATTCGTATACAAACTTAGGCTGCTTCTAAAACCTTGGATATTGATTATGAGGACAAAGACAATGATCTTGCTGCTGTGGAGTATGTTGAGGATATGTACACTTTCTACAAAGAAGTTGAGGTACTTTATAGTGAATCCCTCTTTTGAAATGCTTATGGATAAGTTATGTGATGTAATGTCTCTTTAAGCATGTTGCTTCGTTCTTTGTTGTAGAATGAGAGCAGACCTCTGATGTATATGCATACACAACCTGAGATTAATGAGAAGATGAGATCAATCCTTGTAGACTGGCTTGTAGAAGTTCATCTCAAGTTTGATCTCTCCCCGGAGACTCTCTACCTCACTGTCAACATCATTGACCGTTTCCTATCTTTGAAACCTGTGCCTAGAAGAGAGTTACAGCTTGTAGGCGTCAGTGCTATGCTCATAGCTTCCAAGTACGAAGAAATCTGGCCTCCTCAGGTCAATGATTTGGTATACGTGACTGATAACTCCTACAACAGCAAACAAATTCTGGTGATGGAGAAGACAATTTTGGGAAATCTCGAGTGGTACTTGACAGTTCCAACACAATATGTGTTTCTTGTGAGGTTCATCAAAGCCTCAGGCTCTGACCCAAAATTGGAGAACATGGTTCATTTTCTTGCTGAGATTGGTATGATGCACCACGACAGTTTGATGTTCTGTCCTTCCATGCTTGCTGCATCAGCTGTCTACACAGCCAGATGCACCTTGAACAAGACTCCTGCTTGGACTGATACTCTCAAGTTCCACACAGGCTACTCGGAATCTCAGCTCATGTTAGTCTTCTTTTTTATTTTCTTTCAAACAACTCTGTGATTCATTATGTTTGTATATTAATATCTCTATATGTTTGCGTGTGTTATCAGGGATTGCTCAAAGCTTTTAGCTTTCGTTCACTCGAGTGTTGGGGAGAGCAAACTACGAGGTGTGTTTAAGAAGTACTCTAAACTTGGAAGAGGTGCTGTTGCTTTGATTTCACCAGCCAAGGCTCTTTTGTCGGCTGCTCCTTGAACAAGTCTTGAAAGAAGTCCCCCGTCTTGCAAACTCTGCATTTTTAGATTTTCATTTTATCTTTTCATATGTAAAGGTTTCGGTACTTGTTGAGCAATGATGTTTCTGTATGAATTCAAAAGTATTATAATGAAATGAATTCTTCTCTTCTATCTATATTTGATCGTTTTGAACCGTATTCAACAATTTTATCAAGGGAGGAGTCAAATCGAATTAAACTGATATCTATTAAAACTTATTTGTTCTTCATAAGACCACAAGTACGATCTGTGTATTGCCAATTAACTCTCGTCGTGATTTTGCTACTCCAACGACAAAATATAATTTCGTGCACTAAACACTAAATCAAGAAAATAACCTTATCTTATTTTAATGATTTTCGCATAATGACGAAACGACGACGTAATATTCAAAGGTGCTGAGGGTACTTACGTCATTTCCTGGAGGCACTCCGATGTAACCCTAATTTATAAAGAAGATTTGTAGCGCCGTGTATGTCTCCTTCTTGTTTACCACTGAGCATCCAAAAACCTTAGCGTTTCGTCTCTTCTCTCATCCATTGTTGAAAGATGGTAAGCTCTTTTTCCACTTCAAACACTTGTTTTCTTCCGGATAATTTGGTTCTCGTTAGTCTGTAGAGAACTTAGATCTGCGATTAGATCATTTCTGAGATTTTCACTCCTGCTAGTTTCATGCCTTTAGGTTCTGTGTTAATTATGCTTCAGCTATGTAATTGATCTTTGCTTGTCTGATTCATAGTTTAGTGGTTGGCTGATTAATCGCCATGTAGTGTGATATTGAGCTGATGGTATGTGTACCAGTAATCAGAGTTAGACCAGTGGTGTACAATTTTTTTTCTCAAATGTGTTTTGCTCTTTCTTTTGTTATATAGTCGTCGAAGAGAAAGACTAAGGAGCCGAAGGTAGAGACTGTGACTCTTGGACCTAGTGTTCGTGACGGAGAGCAAGTTTTCGGTGTTGTTCACATCTTTGCATCATTCAATGACACTTTCATTGTAAGCTGTTCTCTTGGATCCTTAGCATTTCTATGGTATTTTAGCTTCTTGCAGTACATTTATGGCATTACTTTCAATAATTTTTGCAGCATGTGACTGATCTGTCCGGCAGAGAAACTCTTGTCCGTATCACTGGTATGTAGACACTAATCTCTCACAATTTGTCGGTAGTAATTCGTTTATATTCTCTGAAACAGAATGATAATGGGATTTGAATTTGAAATAAAGGTGGAATGAAAGTGAAGGCTGACCGTGATGAGTCCTCTCCTTATGCTGCTATGCTTGCTGCTCAGGATGTTGCTCAGAGATGCAAGGTTGGAGACATTAGTCAATATACATGTTTTATTATTATGACATTGAGCTTGTGGATGATAATATCTAATGCCTTGTCCCTTGTGTAACAGGAGCTTGGCATAACAGCCATTCACGTGAAGCTCCGTGCTACTGGAGGAAACAAAACCAAGACTCCTGGTCCTGGTGCCCAGTCTGCTCTCAGAGCCCTTGCCCGTTCTGGCATGAAGATTGGTCGTATTGGTAACATAGAAACTTACTTTCTCTCTCAAGTTGTTTTTGTTTTTTGTTTGTGTGGACAAATTGTTACTTTTGGTTGCTCATGCAAACTGAATCTTTCTTGAATGTATTCGCAGAGGATGTGACTCCAATTCCCACAGACAGTACACGCCGAAAGGGTGGACGAAGAGGAAGAAGACTCTGATTGCACGATGAGTCCCATCATCGTTCAATTGTGCCCTTGATTCTCTCTGTATTTTCTTGGGTACACTTTGAAGTTAGTTTTGTCTCTCCTATTTATCTTTCCAGTTGCTTCAAGAACAGTATGTGCTGTGTTTTTCTTTAACATTGTATTTGGAGTTTGGTAATGAGAAAAAAATGATAGTGGTTACTTACTTTGTGTTACTGTTATTGGCTTATTGCTATTTTGCAATCTCTTTTACTCTTTTAACCTCAGATTATAATTGAAAATTTTGTAGAAGTACCTTGTGCAACGGGTGCTTATAAAAATCAGATTTGAAAGTGATTTTGCTGAATCCTTCCATTTACAACTTACGTTTCTGTTCTATACTTTTGTTAGAAAAGATGAACATCCTATCTTTGAGACTTCGTGAATTAGAATGCTGCCTAATAATGCCTCCGTCAGATTCTTCAACTTTTTCTAAGTTCTCTACTTGGTAGTAGAAAAAGAGGTGATTACGAAATTATAGACCAATTTATTTAAAAATTAATATAATATGACTTTAAAACTCAATTTGTTCAAAAGTGGGTGTTTGGTCTAGTGGTATGATTCTCGCTTCGGGTGCGAGAGGTCCCGAGTTCGATTCTCGGAACACCCCTTCTATTTTTATAAGCTCTATGTAAAGCGTCAACAAAGGCTTTTCAGCTACTGGGCCTTCAAACGACGTCGTTTCAACCTCTAACTTTCCAGACCGACGACGGCTTCGATTTCTACTTTTTTTTTTCTTCTTCTGGAATCGAATTAGAGCAAAGTGTTCACCAGCTAGCTGAGAAAAACCCTAAATCTCTCCTTGGTCGTCTTCTCCGATTCCGCAAGTATGAGTCGATCAGGTCAGCCTCCGGATCTCAAGAAGTAAGTTCTCTCCGCTACTTAATTTTATTTTCCATTCTCTGTTTGTAATTCTTTGTCGGGATTTTTCTCTATATCCAGATGTTTTAGTTTCCATCGAGCTTCTTCTTCTTCGTGTTTCTGATTTTGTTCTTCGTTCGTTTCATCTAATGCAGGTACATGGACAAGAAACTCCAAAGTAAGATCCCAACTCTTCTTCCACTTTTTTATTAGCTTTTGTTGTTTCAATTTTTGACCTAATCTCTTGCTGTGAATTGCTTCCAACTCTTGAACCTAAGAGCGATGTTTAGTGTAGATATGTATCCCATTTCAAGTCATATCTATAGAACATATATCAATTATAGCTCATAGCACAGCAGTCTCATTGATTACAGTTGGTTTTAGTCAAGGTTGCAGCAAATGGTTTATGGATTCGTTGGTTTTGTTTCTCCGTATGCTTTCATTATTGAACATTGTTTGTCATTATGTTTTTGTAACTTGGTATGGTCCAGAGAAGTTTATTGTCTCCTTTTGTTGTTCCCCTCCAATGTAGTTAAGCTTAATGCCAACCGAATGGTAGTTGGAACTCTCCGTGGGTTTGATCAGTTCATGAATCTTGTTGTGGATAACACTGTTGAAGTGAATGGTGATGACAAGACTGACATTGGGATGGTGGTAAGTCTCTCTATCCTTCACAGAATGTACTGAAGTATTCATCCATCATCCGTTTTGTTTTGACATTCTACATTTCCCGGATGCAGGTGATTAGAGGAAACAGCATTGTCACTGTTGAGGCTCTTGAACCAGTCGGGAGGTCTTAGCTTTTAATGCTTTACTTTGCACCACCTCCAGTAATCATCTTCTGTAATATGACTTTGACTAAGTTGCTCTCTGTACTGGCTGGCATGTATGGATCTTGAAGAAGTTTAATTTGATGAATTCAACTTCGTTGGCTCCTTCACTTATATGTCATTTTATTTGTGACTTGGTCCTGCTTATATGCTCTGAAGTCTTCTTTTGAACCCTTGATTAGATGCATCTAAGAAATCTGAATACTACTGTCTGTTTTGTTTTGATCTCTCTTAGCAATTGTGTCAGGGTCTCTAAAGTATATATTCCTAGAAGGCTTGGATCTTTGGTCCAAGTATTTGTATAACATCGCTAGACAACTTTACTAAAGAGATCAAAAGCAGTCAAAGAAAAAGCTAAGTTTGATTGGGCCAAACCTTGCACAAAGATCTGAAATTTGGGTAAACGAGCTCTAACGGTTGTGTATCTTGCTTTTTGTGTTTTATCACCATCTTTTTATCCTTTTGTTGTCTAATTAGACAATAATTGTGCCGTTTGGCTCCTCTGTTATTAAAAAGATGTTTTCCATGGAATAAGAGAAGAAGTGAAAGTGGAAGGAATCATATAAAGCATGTGCCCCACGAAGTATTGTTTGCAAAGGCAAACGAAATGAATGAAGAAATGATTTGGAGCAATACATCTATCTATCTCCAATAAAAACACGTAGCCACAACGGAATGTTCGGCACGTGGGGTCGTCGTCGGCACACACACACACGTGGGGTGGTTTTAGTTCCAACTTACATTCCTCTATCTTGTTCTATAAATCAACAAAACTTATGATTCACATCTATCTACCACTTCAAAAAACTACGATCGACTCAATGTACTTTATTGGTAGATAAAGTAGGTATTTGTGTTTTGTCATTCACAATTTAGACGTGCTCTTTTCTTGTTAACATTTTGTGGTCGGGGATCTCTAACTAATATAGCAAACAAAAAATTGGATGTAAAGGATTTTGAACACATGGATTTACAACTAATCCAAAAAGAACTTCCACCAACTTCACTTTATTTTTTTCCTTTTTGTCTGACTCTTTCCTCTTTAGCTTTGGGGAAGAGACTAGGGAGAGTCTAATAAGAGATTGCTTCTTTCTAAATTCTAACGGTAACAAAGTATAAAAACGTAAAAAGTAACCTTGATACATTCTCGTGGACCATCCATCGCAAGTAACTAAAAGATTCACTTTGGCTGGATGCAAGTTGTTCAATGAACTTCAACCATTTACTGGCTTAATATATCAATGTGTGTTCAAACTACAATCCATTACTACTAAATTTAATGACCAAAACCATATAAAATCTGTTATTATGTGAATCTTCAATCAACTGATTTTTCCGCCTAATAACTATATCATTCAATTCCACATTTTCCTTGAAATGCCATATTTGTGGTGCTTTTAGGAACATTGGTTGTTATTAGGTTACCAAAGTACATGAGACTAGTCTTATTATAGAAATACTTCTTCTACTATTTGCTCTCAACTGATTATTATGTTAGATTAGATTTCTTCTTTTATTAGTGTGTTTGACTTTGTGTGATATATCAAGATACCTCCCGTTTAGGTAGGAATGACGAAACGGAGTTAATTAAGTAATAGTCAGAATTCGCAATATCTTACTACTAGCAGAAGATGTAGATTTTGATATATTCACACATAGAAACAAAAAGTTATTACATATCTACTTGATACTTTTCCTAGAGGATAAAAATACTTAAAAGAGAGACACACCAAAACAAAAGACAGAGCAAAATATATCAAAGAGATACTTAAACAAAGACAGCTCGATCCTTTCATCTTCCTCCTTAATCCTTCATCTTCTCTCTCTCACCTACCTCCACCAATCTCTCTCTCTCTCTCTCTCTCTCTCTCTCTCTTCTGTGAGCCACGACTTTGTTGTGTGTAGAATACGAAGAAGGAAGAAGAAAGAAAGAAAGAAAGATTGAAGTGATAATTACAACCCACCAACTGAAACCATTTCTTCATTTCAACTCTACGCGTCGCTTAGTAATACCCAAAAGTTTTAATCTTTTGAGCTTCCCAACAGAAAAGTATCATTAATTACCCATTTACTAATCCAATTTTCTAGTTTTTTTTCTCTTTTTCTTGTTTCCCCTGAAATTTTTCTTATTAAAGATTGATTCTTTATAGCCATTGATTTGACCTCTCCGTCACTGTTTCTCCTCATTGTTTTTAAAGAGAGAGTACCCATCACTCCAAGATTTGATTTTTTTTTGTTGTTGTTTAGGATTATCCTTTGAGATAATGGCAAAAGTACTAAAATCGAGCCAATCATGCCATTTCCCTTCACCTTCAAGCTCTTCTTCTTCTACATCATGTGGTGGCAATGATTGTAATAGAGACCCACATTCTCCTTTTAACATTTCTCGAGAGGAAGAGGAAGAAGAAGAAGCTGAGAGAAGCGAGAAAGAGAGAGAAAGATTCGAGCTTTCGTCTGCATTGGAGATTCTTGTTTCTGCTATTCGAAGGTCTGTGATTGGTGGCTGTGTTGGCGAAGAGGATCTTTGCTCAATGGAGATTGGTGTCCCTACTGATGTTAGACATGTCGCTCATGTCACCTTCGATCGTTTCCATGGCTTCCTTGGCTTGCCTGTTGAGTTTGAACCTGAAGTCCCGAGACGAGCTCCTAGTGCAAGGTTTGTTTTTGGTCTCTTATCTTAGATTATTGATTTTGTTTTTGGTAATGCTTGGTGATTGAGATTGTAGTTAGCTTAATCAATTATAAAGAACCAGTTCTGTATGTGGCTTAGTTTCTATATCCAGTAATTGCATTAATTGAAACCCCCATCTGGAATCCACCTTGGATTAGTGTATCCCCTGACATCATGATCCAAACTTTCTGGTGTTCTTGAATCAAATCCCTTGTTTTCTATGAGGTTGGGTGAAATCTGTTATCAAGTAGATGGTTTGTACAATGATCTTTAGTGAGGCAGATAGATTGAAGACTTATTGTATGTAGACATTTTCACAACTCTTCCCAACTTTATCATGTGATGTTCTTGAATCAGATTCTCATGTATTTGATGATATTGGTGAAATTTCTTACAATGTGCATGGTTAGTCAACATTCTTGAGTGAGTAGATAGATAGTTTTACTCTTTTGTTCAAACAGAAGCTGATTCAGATTGTATCTGTTAATACAGTGCTACCGTGTTTGGAGTCTCTACCGAGTCAATGCAGCTATCTTATGATACTAGAGGGAACATCGTGCCTACAATACTTTTGATGATGCAGAGTCACTTGTACAGTAGAGGCGGATTGCGGGTGGGTGTAAATCTGCATCTTTAAAACAATTTTCCATCCTGTTTTACGACAATGGGTAAATTTAATGTTCATTTGTGACATATAGGTAGAAGGAATTTTCAGGATTAATGGTGAGAATGCTCAAGAGGAGTACATAAGAGAAGAGTTGAATAAAGGTGTTATACCTGATAACATCGATGTCCACTGCTTAGCAAGTCTCATTAAGGTATAAAACCCATTACTTTCATAAAATTCTTATTGTTTATTTTTCCTGATTGTCTTTTACATTTTCTGAATTGTGGTTTTTATTGGTTTTCCTCTAGGCTTGGTTTAGGGAACTTCCTACTGGTGTTTTGGATTCTCTCTCACCAGAGCAAGTAATGGAGTCTGAGAGTGAAGATGAGTGTCTGGAGCTTGTAAGGCTTCTTCCTTCAACTGAAGCTTCTTTGTTAGATTGGGCTATCAATCTAATGGCTGATGTTGTCGAGATGGAACAACTTAACAAGATGAATGCTCGCAACATTGCAATGGTTTTCGCACCTAATATGACTCAGGTTAGTGTTCGAATGTATCTCTAAAGATTGTTTTTTTTTTTGTATGTTTTTCGTAAATGACATCAGTCAAATTGCAGATGTTGGATCCATTGACGGCTCTAATGTATGCTGTTCAAGTTATGAACTTTCTTAAAACACTCATTGTGAAGACGCTTAAAGACCGGAAAGAATCTCGAGATAAGTTGATTCCAGCCTCAAATCCAAGCCCTCGGGACCATAATGGTGATCAGAGCAGCAGTAGACAGCTGTTACATCTCATGAAAGCTAACAAGGAGGATACTTTAGACAACTTTGAGGAGGAGATGAAAGACAAAGAAGAGTCTGCAGATGATAAAGAAGAAGAAGAAGAAGAATCTGCAGAATCTCCAGAACTTGTTGGTATAAAGTCTTCTGTGGTGAAAAGCTGTAACAACGGAGGTTGTGGACAGATACACAATGGTTGGGAGGAGCAGAGGAAGAAGACTACAACGACCATGTCTAAAGCAAGTAGTATTGTGGGACGCGTGAATTACAGAGTTGAGCTATTTGAAGCTTGGCGATGAGAAAAAAAGTGAATAGTTTGTTGTTTTTGATCCAACTTTTGGATTTTCTTGATCTGGGTTTTGTGGGATGGATGATGCTTTTAAATTTTGATGTGGTTGCTTGTGTATTAAGAAATGCTACGTTTCTGCATATAATGTCAAAGAAAAGTTTCTGCTTCTCTTCCTAAGGTTTCAGCTTGAAGAATCTGCAACTTTTAGAGGAATATACCAACTGTAGGTTATAAACAAAAGATATTAAAATCGATCAGAACATAACATATTACAAATTTACAATCTTCAAGACTAGCATCTCACAGTTACATTGAGTGGCAGGTCTTGGAATTTATTGAAGGAACAATAACACATGAAGTAAATACAAGCAATTACATCAGAGAAGTGTTGATTATTTCTTAGTCAACGAAACAACATGACTGACACTGGTTCTGTTCCTGCAGTTGGCATGCTGAGTCACATGGTGCGCATACTTATCAAACAAGGTATCGATAATGTCTTCTCCAAAATGGGCAGCGAGCATTGGTTCACTAACCGCTCTTATACAATTGGCTTCATTGTGTCCTGCTTCATACTCATATATTCCGTTGTAGTTGCAGTTACTATGACCAAGATCGAATCCATGTGCCTCCAATTCATTGATCTCAAAAGAGCCCTCGTTTCGTATCACTTCTTTGAGTTCATGTACGTTCGGATCATAAAACGGCATGTTGAAAGTCTCCAGCTTTGATTCACTGACAATGCCCTGTTTATATGATTAATGTGAATTGGAGTATTCATAACGAATTAATAAAGTTCCAAACAAAGGATTGTATGTTTATGGTCATGCTTCTAATTAAATCCCTAAGACCATGAATGGGCATATTTGAAATCTTGAATAATTTGATTTGATGTACCTCGAGGACTAGGTCGCGTAGAGATTTTGATAGCAATGTCCAAAAGTGACAACAATCTCTATGTAATGGATCGTTAAGACTCTTTCTTCCGATGAAGTTGAGCACCATACGTCCATTAGAGACGAGTTCTTCAGAACGTAACCTTAGAAACAGCGTGAAATCTTCTTGGAACTGATTCAAGTAAGCCTTGTATACACTTTCAGGACTTGAACTTGTTATGTACACACTCCCCTCGTTATTCTCAAGCTTCTCAGGAACCTTCGACATACAATTACATCATATATATTATTAATAATTGATGTTTTTTATATACAAAGCAATATCAAAGTCTTGTATATTTAAAGTACCTTAGAGAGAAAATGGAGAGCGTAAGAGGAATGTATGAAATGGAGGCTGTTGCGAGAGAAGAGCCTGGAATAGAAGGAACCTGGAGCTCCGTAGACGAAACAGGGTGCTTTGTTTGTGGTCTCCTTATTGAAGAAAGGCACGAACTTGAATGTCGTGTTAAAATCGTTTTCGGGGAGATCGTTAAGACAACAATCGATTTCTGGTGGGTTTTTGTCCACACGTTGGCACAGCACATTAATGGTGTTGATGATCTCAGAGATGGCCAAAAACGAGTTTTCTCCCGAAGAACAACCCAACTCAGCAACTTTGATGTACGTAGGAAAGTCTAAGTTCATCATCATTTCTTCTGTGTTTTTTACCAAGACTGGTTTGGCCATTGATAGAACTCTTCTCTATAAACCAGAAAAGTATATAAACTAGTTAATATCTCGATTATGATGGACGATCGATCTTCGTTTATAACAAACTTTGAAAACTAGTGTTTATGTATTCATGCAAATTTGAGTTTACATGTCTTAATATTCTTTTAGTAACTTATAATCTAACCCTCCTAGGAACATCATTATTTTCCCTAAAAAAATTTAAGACTACATATATCACCATATATATATTTATATGGAAAACATGTACTTCCTTTTGTAAACATTTCTACTTTATGCATAATATATTTGGTTTGATAACAATTATTATAAACAAATATAACTATGTAAATTCTTGACTACATACATATAGTAGATGTAGTTTCATTCAGTAATTTGGTTATAAACATGTACCTAATGTTTTAGATTTTACAATTTTATCGAAATGAAAAAAACTCCTAAAAAATCATTTATAATATTGATGATAAATATATTGGTTAAAACTGAAAAGAAAAGAGGATATTGAAGAACCTGAAGACGAGAATTGGCGGAGTAACTGTTGGCTCCATCTCCACCACTCATCCGCAGAGCTTTCACAAACGCATATTCGTCATCACGCTTGTTATCAATATAGCTGCATATATACATCTATATAGTTACATACAAATTAAAGCTGCATGCACATATACATAAAAAAAACATCGTGATATACATATATATGAGAAGATATATCGTTACATACAAATACATATATTTGAACGAACTATATCAAAGAAAAATCATACATGTATGTGTGTGTGTGTGTGTGTGTGTTTGTATTGATAATGAATTGGGGAGACGAACCTCAAGGAAGGTAAGGTATCGATGAATCTCGGATCCATTTTTATTATCGTACTTTATATATTGGTGGATATGTAAGTTAAGAGGAGAAATATCCGAAGATGTTTGTGTATCGAGGATGCACACAAAATACCCTTCAATTTATAGAGAGCTGGAACTTAATAAAGGGTAGAACATAACACATGAAACATGCCAAGTGTAATAGTTGCTAAGTCGTTGGTCTTAACACCCAAAACAAATTAACTTATATATATATATATATATATATATATATTCTACCCGCGAGTTGTTAACCGGATACTTTGGTCTTTGC